TCCTATAAAAATAGGTGACTTCCCCTGAGAGAGGCTGTCCATAGGATGAGAAGAATACTAGATCTAGTTAAGAAGGTGGAAGAAGCCTTGGAGGAACAGTAGTGGTAATGGACAAATTTATTCTTTAAAGAATGAGGATTCACCTTCAAATTACTAAATGAAACAAAATAAAAACAAATGATAAATGTTAACATAGAAAAATGGCCAAAGGACATGTTTTCTCACAAAAGAGGAAAAACGAATGGTCAGTAAGATAAGGTACTGAATCTTACTAGTAATTAGGGAAATCCAGTGTAAAACAGTGAGATGCCATTCTTTTTCATCAGATTGGCAACAATCAATATGCCTGAAAAGTGTTGGCGTAGAATAAATTGCTCTTATTTTAGAGAACATTTTGGCAATATCTAGTAAAGTTGAAGATGTGCATAACCTATGACCCAGCAAGCCCACCTTTAGATTCATATCCTAAGAACTCTTTGGGATTATATAAAATACTCTGTTCCTCATAAAGTTTGACTCATGTAGATTTAGCATCATTTGATGATTGATGTTCAATACTTAAAAATATGCTAAATACAGCATTCATAAAATTGTTATACTCCATTGTTTCTAATAGCAAAAATGAGAACGATATATACGTATCAGTAGAGAAATGGTTGAATAATTGTTCTATGTTCTTATGGTCAAATTCTATACAGCAGTGCAAGTGAGTTTTGAGACTCCTGATGCCTACTCTTAAACTGCTTATGCAGAACAGGTGAACCAGTTTGCATTCCCAACAGCAATGTCATAAAGTGCCTGTCTTACTGTAGTCTGTAGTCCCTCAAAAAAAATTTTTTTTTTAAAAGATCTTATTTATTTTTGACAGAGAGCACAAGCAGGGGGAACAGCAGAGGGAAAGGGAGAAGCAGACTCCCCACTGAGCAGGGAGCCCGACGCGGGGCTCGATCCCAGGATCCTGGAATCATGACCTGAGCCGAAGGCAGATGCTTAACCATCTGAGCCACCCAGGCGCCCCAAAATTCTTCTAATTATAGACAAAAGTGCCTCATTATTATGTTAATTTACATATTTAGATATTCAGCTCTTTTTCCTTATGTTCAAACTGTCTATAAGAAATAACTGATTTGAATTTGATAAGGCCAGATAGTAAATATTTTAGGCTTTCAGGCCATACAGTCTCTCTTGAAACTACTCTGCTGTTGTAGTATAAAAAGCAGCCATAGACAGTACATAAACAAATGGGTATGGCTGTATTCCAATAAAACTTTACTTATGGATGGTAATTTAAATTTCATGTAATTTTCCTATCAGGAAACATTCTTTTGACTTCACTTCTTTACCACTTGGACTTTAATCCAGGAAAGCTACTTTTCACATACCCATTCTAATTCAGATGACTTCATTTGTAAGAAAAATCTTAATTTCATGAAATATCTGAGATTTTTCTGGCTTTTATTTTTCTTTATAGCAGAGTTGATAGGATTGAGCATAATGTTAGGCATTAATGAATTTAAATTATCTCAGAGTTTTCAAAGTAATCTATATTACCACTTGCTAGCTGTTTCTTTAACCTTAAAATATGAATAATAGAAAATTCTCTTGTGAAACTATTAAAAATTTTCAACTTTTTTTAAAGATTTATTTATTTTAGAGAGAGTACAAGTGGCGGGAGGGGCAGAGGAAGAGAATCTTCAAGCAGATTCCCCACTGAGTGAGAAGCCTAACACAAGGCTTGATCTCATGACCCTTGAAATCCCCACCTGAGCCAAAAAAAGCATCAGACGCTTAACTGAATGAGCCACCTAGGTACGTATTTATTTATTTATTTATTTATTTATTTTTAAGTAGGTTCCACACCCAATGTGGGGCTTGAACTCAACCTTGAGATCAAGAGTTGCATGCTTTACTGATGAGCCAGCCAGGCACCCCAACTATTAAAGATTTTTAAAGAAAAGAATCACATTACTTGTCCAGATAAAATCTACATGTTTCTTAACCTAATATTACTTGGTGCTCAGCTAATACATAGGAAATGAGATGGGTTAATCCAAAATACAGCATAGCACCCAGTTTGGTGCCTTTTGCATATGATAGATGTTTATAAATAATTGTTGTACTAGCTCCAGGTATGATTATTGAAAACATAAGTTGGCCCAGGCTTTGAATTAAATAGGTGATATAGTCAATAAATGTTGTAATAGCTTAAGAAGTAGGATAAATAGATTTTAAGCTGAGTTTTTAAGGCAGAGTAGGACTTGGACTAGATTAAGAAAGGAGACAGAGTTTGTGTGATTGGGAGAGGAACCAGAATTAAGCATGGAAAGAATATTAGTGTCACCTTGAGAGGGGCTTTTTTGAAGTATTTTTCAGTTTCCAGTCTGTAATGTGGGCTAACACTAGGTCAAATGAATAATTTGAGTGCCACTCATTCTTGCAGACAGAAAAATGTGAAAGCTGGCTTGGACTTGGGTTATCCTTTTACAGCATATAGCACTTAAGAGACTGCCATTGTGTGCCTGTCTGCTACTCTATTTAGTTACCTTTCAAGAAATGGAATTTTTAAGTCCTCCTCAGTAATGAGGAATATAATCTCATCTCTACATCTGATTTGGTGGTTTAGCTAGATAGCCCAAAAATATAGAGATGGTAAAGGGCTGTTTTTATCAGGTAGGTTTTTATTTTCACCCTAAAGAGAACTTTTCATGTCTCTTGGTGCTAACAGGGCTGGCTCCAAAAAGAAAAAGAAACTTAAATCAATAAATGAGGTAGGCTTATATGAATGCTACATATTTTTCTTTACTGGAATGTTATGGAATGAATAGTTGTGTAGTTGTATACTGTACAACATTATAAACTCACAGTTACTTGGAATAAAAGCAAACAGGAAAAGGAAATAACCAAGTTTTTGGTTAGTTTTACATAATCTACTTTTATCAGTCATGACATGTTAAGGTAAGTCATTTTTAAAAAAGTAATTTGTAGTGTGTCCTAAATGTGGTACATATTCAGATCAGGCTACATATGTAGGTGTACTTACAGAAACTTCACAGTGATGAATTCAAGGACTTTAAAATTCAGAATTGCTTTCCCCGTATAAAAAATTGTTTAATCAAAAGATTTTAACATTATTTAATTTTTCATTGTATGTACTGAAAGGTATTTGTTGACCAAGTAAATTAGATTATACTTCCTTGAAACTTAATTATTGTATTAATCAAAACCTTTGTTTACCAGATCTGTTTTTAACCATTCTGTTCTGAGAGTTTACGACCGTAAGAAGGCTGCGTATATGTGTTGCTACTAGTAGAACTATCCCTGGAGTGTGACAGAATTTTAAGATTGCCGAGAAAACATGTTTGTGGGTCATGCCTTGCTTTGTAGATGGTCATAACTCTAGGATGAATAGAGACAGTTCTACGTATTTAGAAAGGAAGGAAAAAAAAAACAAAAACAGACCATAACAATCATTCCAACATCTTGATCCTCATCGTCCCTTCATTGTATAGAACTTCTCCAGCTCTTGTGACTTTTATTCTTGGATATGAAGGGGATATAGTGACACGGCGTCTGACTCCCTATCGATCAGCAGCGTTATAACTCTTCTGAGTTTTTCTGTCCATAATGCTCTGTTGTATCACTCTATTTGAACCAACTTTCCTGAGATGACTTTTTAAGGTAATGTTATGAGCCACTTCATTCCTCTGCTGGAATCCGATTTGACCTTTAGACAACATGGGAGGGGCTTATATAATAGGACTAGATTCCAGTTTGTATTCCCACAGGGCTTCACTTGGGGATTCACTTGGAACATGCTCAGTCCTGACACAGAATAAAGATTCATTATAGATCTTATTTGCCATCCATGATACATTACAAAACTTGTCTGTATAAATTAGATTTAAGACAAGCCTGAGTAAGTGAATGATATTAAGTATAAATTCAGGTCCATCTCATACTAAAAAGGCCATGAAAATTTTTTTCTGGCTTTGTAAATGTTTCTTTTCAGGTGAGCTTTGCCTATAATCAGTGCCTTGTACAGGGCCAAAATAAAGTGGGCACTGTAGGTTGACTGATACCTGAGTCACTGCATTTGACATGCTGCTTTTTACCTAATCCTGAGGGATTCATATCTGTGGCCCTAGGGGGCTGAAATGTTTCAAAGCTGCTGTTTAAATGGCAAAACCGTTTACTGGGTAATGTTAAAGTATATCCCTCTTGGTTTCATTAAAATCTGAATTTTAAATAATTGGTATGGTGGGTTAGGCTTAAAATTCTGCTTTAAAATTAATATATATTTTTTAAAGATTTTATTTATTTATTTGACAGAGACAGTGAGAGAGGGAACATAAGCAGGGGAAGTGGGAGAGGGAGAAGCAGGCTCCCCGCGGAGCAGGGAGCACGATGCGGGGCTTGATGTGGGGCTCCATCCTGGGATCATGACCTGAGCTGAAGGCAGACGCTTAATGACTGAGCCACTCAGGCGCCCCTAAAATTAATCTCTTAATGTTTGAGAAATGCCTTTACTTTGTGGCTTTTGCAATGTAGCCAGCTCCCGATGTTTTTAAAAGGTCAAGTTAAAAGGCAGGCACCTTAATTTGGGGGCTGCTTGAAGATAAACAACTATAGAGGAATCTAGTGAATGTTCTTCTGAGGTGTCATTCTCACTGTATGTGTTGTATATATTTTATATAAAACATATTATATTTTACATTATATATACATATTATTTCCTGGCATAAAAATTACAGATACAATAAAGGTTTTTTTTGTATAGGTTTTTGAGAAACTGACACTCCTCAAAATAGCATATGAGCAATGCAGTTTTTCTAATGGTGCTTGCTGTGACTCAGAGGGAGGAGCTACTATTGAATATTCTGATAAAAATAGCTTCAAATTGGAAGAATTTGACCACTTATATTAATATGGCTACTTACTAAAATATTTTCTGGAACTAAAAGCCAGGATGATAATACATTAATCGCAGTCGAGATAGGGGCACCTGGGTGGCTCAGATGGTTAAGCATCTGCCTTTAGTTCAGGTCATGATCCCGGTGCGGGGAGAGGGGGCCCTGGGATCAAGCCCACGTTGGCCTCTCTTCTCAGTGGGGAGCCTCCTTCCTCCTCTTCCTCTGCTGCTCCCCATGCTTGTGCTCCCTCGCTCTCTCTCTGCCAAATAAATAAAATCTTAAAAAATTTGCAGATGTCTTAGAAGACTTTGTCATAGTTAGAAAAAGACCCCCAAAAACCCAGCATTTGTTTTCTGATTTATAAGGTTATCTATTTTCTCTAACTTAAGGTAGCGCCTGAAAACAAAGCCATTTGATTACTGCTCAGGTAACTGGGAACAGTGACTCAGCCTTCGGGACTTCTAAGCCAAGGATAACCTTTCCTGCCTTTACACCATTAGCAGGAACAGCTTACTACCATGAAAAGCTCTCCTTATTACCTCAGCCAAAATTATTGATCTTTAAAATGCACAGATTTGGGTTTTAATGTTTATCCTCTGGATCAGCTTTCCTCTTGAAAAATTTTGAATTTATTGATTTGAAGGATACAGTGTTCAAAATGAACTGGTAAATTGTAATCTATTTTTCTTGTCTAAATGACTTCTGAAAATAATGCATTTATTACATTTCTATGTGTGATGACACAGCAGTCATTAACAGAACCTCAGTGCACTTTTGGTTAGATATTCCACACATTCAGACATCCAAGCTAAAATCCATTGCTTTGGGAATTCTAAATGTACTTAAAATTATAGTCTGTATGAAAATGCAAGACAGTTATTAACAAATTAAAGAAAATATTGGTGGCCCAATCGTGATATAGCTCTTGTGTCCCAGATTCTGAGATTAGACATGTAACCTGATTAAGCTACTGCTTTTACTATAATAAAACAACTCCTTTAGATTTTTAATTTAGAATTTGTCTACTTCCCAAAAGGATTGAAAGCAGCTACTATTAAACTGGAATTAGAAAGGTTATTTCAAATGTTGCAGAATACAGAACATCTTCAAGCATCTGGCCTAATAAAACACAATTTTGTCTACCATAAATATTCACTCTTATTCTTTGCATAATAGCCTTCTGTCTCCTCTCTTACCTGCCAAAGATTCTTCTCTCACCCTAAGTATGTGAGATGTATTTTGGGAAAAACATTAAAAGCAATTTAAATGATTAAGCAAACTTATCTAAGCAAATCTGCTTAACACACAAAATTATTGTATACCTAATAGGGTTTTATGTTTAACTGATAAGGGCACTAAAAAGAATTACTGTGTACTTGTTTTTCCTCAAGATCGTTCTGGAAAAATAGCCACATCTCTCATAAAGATGAAAGGCACATAGCTAAATTCTTAAACCTTTAATGCATTTGTGCTATTAATTTAATGTTACAGCTTATACCTTAGCAATAAAGTATTGGGAAGGTTATTAATCGATAATGAATATTGTAGTTATCTTAATGCTGTTGGAAAACAAGATGCTCCATTTTTGAAGCCCTTATATTCCCAAATACTGCTAATTAACTGGCAATGTTAAAGTGGTCCTACTGAAATATACAGCTAGTAGTTAATCCCCTTTTATAAGAATGTGTATTAGCCACACCTTAGAAGAACCTTAAGGGTTTCAAACCTCCCCCTTAAACTCATTAGCGAAGTCTTTAAGACTCCTTATTTGATGTGGCTAAAAAAATCCTGCCACAATTTTGGTCCAATTCTGTAGCACATATACGATATTCAAAGTCTCTAACTCTGTACGAAGCTAGACCCGTATCACATACATGTCCGCCAAAATGTCCGCAGAGTAAGAAAAGCTATCGCAAGGCCAGCTGAGACACCTCATAAATGGCCTTCACTCTCCTTTGAGCCAATTATTTAGGTTACATACAAAGAAATTGCTAGTTCTAGTCAGAATCCAAGCGTCCGCTTCTCCAAGCGTCAGGAGGATGTGCATAAGGGCGGGGAGGATCTTAAACCCCATTTCATTCCCCCTCCCTGAGACGTAAGAAACCACCCACGGTATGAAAGTAGGCGGGGGAGGAGTGCCGCAGCCGACTGCCAAGAAAGCTCTCTGCAAGGAGGCCGTTTCCCTGAGTCACGGAGAGGGCGGGAGGCTGGGCCCATCTGCCCACGCCACGTTCTCTTCGTAAGGGACTCAGTTTAAATAGGCAGAGTCCAAAGGGAAAGGGACTAGCATCGCCGTTCCTCAACTCGGCCCAACAGCCACCCCATTCCCAGGAGACTCTGCACTTCCCTAGAATTCGCTCTGCATTCTGGCTGCAAGAGCCGACCATTCCCGACCAGTATCACGTGCACCCGGAAGTAGGTGGGTGGGACCTAAGCGCCCGCGGAAATGACGTAGTCACTGCTAGTCGCATGATGTGGCAAAATGCAAAAAAAAGGAGCGGGGGGGAGGAAAGGCAGGAGGCTGGAGAAAGTGATGAGTCCAAAAAAGTAGTCCCTTCGAGTCCTCTAATTTACCCTCGTGGCGCAGCAGTAAGCGAGGCCCTCGGCGCAGTGCGCCCCGAATTCCTGCGCCCCACTGCACCGCGGCTCTCCGTGGAGGGGTACATAAGGCGGAGGGAGTGAGGTGACTTGGGCGGAGTTCTGTCGTCGGGATCCCTCCGCAGGGCTCAGCCGTTTCCGGAGTCTGCGCTGCGCCCGGTTCCGCCATTGCGGCTCTCCCGGACCCTGGAGCCTCCGCCCCCGACCCGAGCTCTTTCGTCTGCTTGCCAGTTTCCTGCGTCCCCGGAGAGTATCTTGCTGAGCCCAACCTCCCCCCCTCCCCCTTCTCCTCCTCTCCCTTGGAGAGCCCGGGCAGCCACTGCCCCGCAGCCCCAGTGACAGGAGGAGACCATACACCCCGACAGCGCCATGGCCCAGATTCTGCCAATTCGTTTTCAGGAGCATCTCCAGGTGCGGCCGGGCCCGGGCGGGTGAGGGCTGTGGAGAGGGTGGTAGGAAAGGAGAAGCTGGAGTCTGGGCCCAAGTAGAAAAAGCAGGATCGGAGGGGGGTGGGTTTTGGTGTTTGGGGTAGATGGAGGAGGGGGGCGCTATCTTGGAAAGCTTAAGAGTTAACGATGTGGGGCTTGGATAGAAAGGACGAGAGTCGGGGTGCGAAGGGCAGCGAAGCCAGGCCTGGGTTCGAGGGCCTCTATTTTCACTTCCTGGGTGGTAAGAACTGCGCATTCTAACTCCCTCCCCTTTCGCCGTTTTATTCAGTTCATTCATTTGGGTAGATTGGGCGGGGAGGGGGGGGGGCAATTCTCCCGCGTTTCTTCCAGACCAGGGATTTTCATCCCCTAGGCCAGTGCAGAGCTGTCACCTCCCATTGCTCTTCTCTTCCCTTTCCCCCATCGTGTCTGCACCCAGCAGTTGTGGGGCGGGTGGGCTGGGGAGGAGCAACCTTTTTTCTTCCTCCCTCTGCGGCTCTCAGCTGGGAAAGGCACCTTCCCCTGGGGGTGGGGGGAACGGCGGCGACTTGCCTCTTGCCTTCCCCGAGGCAGTTGGAACAGAAGGTCACTGAAGGAACAGAAGGAGAATAGAATGGGGGAACATATTTGTCAGGGCGGTGTCAGTCTCAGTGAGCGGGGTCAAGGTCCCTCGGGGTACTCGTCTTTTTTCCCCTCATTTCTCTGGGGACGGTGCAGCTTTTATCCCCTTTCGTTTTAAGAGGTAGGGAAGAGTTATCCAGAGGTTATCTTGGGGTTTGCTGGAGTGTAGCAGGTAGTCGTGGGCTTGGTGTAAGTACCTCCCTCAGGATTGCTTGGAATTGAACCTAGCCCCGGAGATAGAGCACACCTGCTTTGGAGATATGCAAAGTTATTTGGTCTGTAATTGGCTTCCTTTTAGTAGGTTCTAGAGTTCTTTCCCATGGTGCATTTTCTTGTAGGCAACATACTGTCTTATCTGGCAGTGTGCCCGTGGCGGGCCGAGGCAGATGATCATTGGAGGGCTTGACTGAATTAAGCCTCTTCCAAGCTTCTGATTTTCGTAGTTCACCAAGCTGGTTTTACTTTGGTTGCATCTTAATTTGCTTTCTTCCCAAATACTTCCTTAAAGAGCCCTGCCTCATCTCAATCTTCTGAAGGCCTAAATTCATAATGGTAAAAGATGTTGCGGTTTGACATGACATTGTTAGTGACCTACTGGACACCATTGAAGGCTGTTTTATTGACTTTCTCCAGTTGATAAACAAAAGATTCTTTTTAATAAAAAGGTTGAATATGAATATTTAGGCTATCAGTAACATAACCTTATGTTTCTTTACAGGTATTTTTGCACGAGCAAGAAATTTTTTTCCTTTATGTCTTGAAATTTATTGAATAATAAATCTAAAAAAATAAGTAAAATGGTGATCTGTGGTTTTCAGATAACTCACCTGAAGTAATGGAACACTTAAAGGTTAAAAAAAATCTTAAGTGACAGAGTGGACACAGAAGTTACTGTTTTTGCTCAATTCAAAATGCTGTGGTTATTTCTGCTAGAGTGAGATGTAAATGAATGTAGAGGTTTAGGAAAATAATATTTTTGAGTGTGAGGGGAAAAAGGCTCCTCACTTAGAGTGTTTCTGAAATATAATCTTTCTGCAGACAAATGTTTGTAAATTATAAACAGAAGCAGGTATAGTTGCTAGTTACAAGGCAGAGGTATCTCCCGTTAGTAAACTTACTTTCTTGACTAGTGGTGGTTTGGGCAGTAACTTTTCATTTCTATTAAAGAGGAGACAAGAATTGTTAAATGTTCCCAAAGATTGGAATCCAGCCTTGTCACTAATTGAAGACAGATTTAATACGGGTCTGATTTCTGAGTTTCTGCAAATACTCAAGTGAAACCATTTCCTTCTGAAATAATTTGAAGATTTGAGTATAAAGCAGCTTTGCAAGTGTATTTGAAGAATTCAGTCATTTTTTGGTAGTAATATGCCACGCCTAAAGTTAAGATTGCTAGTGTGACTGTATACTCCAGCTGATAATGATTAATTGTGCAAAGAGCCCCACAGTCATTAACCTCTTCCAGAATATCCCCTCACTTCTCATTTTTATCCCTTTTTTAAAAGTTAATAGGGATTATTTTAATTGGTATCTCAGGTCTTTATCTGAGTCCTGCCAGTTTGCTAAGTAGCAGAAAACTTTCTGAAACACTTAGGATAAAAATTGGGAACAAGAATGAGGAACTTGAGTGTAGAGTTAGCTTTTGTGAAAGTTTTCTAAAGGTGAACTGTAAATTTGTTTTTAACTATTATGGCCAACTGAAGTACCTGTCATCAAGGCTTGGAACTACCTCAAATGAATGTTAATATTTTAAGTTAGGAAGTTTTTTGCTTTTTGTTTTTTGTTTTTTTTTGGATCTTTAGTCTGATAGTCAACAGATGAGTGCCTATTTGAGCAAGAGATTACTAGAGTTACAGATTCTAAAAAAATTCCTGGACTACACATAAAATGTTGCAGTTCTCAATTCTTGGCACATTAAGTTTCTTTATGCTGATTGGCACATTCTGCTGTATTCCCAGGTTCTTGGGTTCTCCCCACCCTTTTCTTTTACCTTTGATCCATAAATGCAGGCATGGAATATGTTGTGAATTGAATGGTAGGGGTTCTTGCTATGGCTATTTTGACTTGCAAAGAGAAAGCAGTGCTCAGTATTACTGTGATATGCTGTATGTGTAACTGTCCTGCTTGGAGAGGCATACACCCTGGAATTCTGCTACAGTCTAACCTGGGAATGGCTTCCAAGGTTAAGATGTATCATGTTTTTCAGAATTTTCCTAATGTCAGTTGATACTCAGCTTAAAGAGGTGTGGCTACTTCTAGTGAATATGCTTTCACTCTGTTTAGGAAATAATTTAAAACCTGGAACTGTGTGTGTGTGTGTGTGTGTGTGTGTGTGTGTGTGTGTGTGTAGAACCACCATCATTTTCATTTTAGTATGTGCAGTACATGATTTTAGAAACCATACCGTATGATATTTGAATTATATTTAATAATATGTTTTTCCTGTCACTGTTACTCATGTGTTTTTTTCCTTTTGAGAGTTACTGTCCAATAGAACTTTCTTCCGGGGCACCTGAGTGGCTTAGTCAGTGAAGCATCCGACTTTTTGATTTTGGCTCAGGTCATGATCTCAGGGTCGTGAGATGGAGCTCCACTTTGGGCTTCACACATGGCATGGAGCCTACTTAAGATTCTTCCCTTAAAAAAAAAAATTCCATGGTGAATATTTATACTAGCTACTTAGGGATATTGAAATGTGGCTTGTGTGACTGAGGAACTTTTAAAATTAGTTTAAATGTAAATGGCCCCATGAGGCTATTGTCTATGACATTGGACTGCACGACTACAGGCCATACTGATGGATTTTGTAAGAGTGAAGATTTTATCTGACCATCCATATTGACATTTTATTAACTAAAATTAAAACATTATTTGAAAGTGTTAGTTGAAAAAAAGTGTTGAATCCTGCTGTCTCTTTTGGGACAGGGTGGTGATGAACAATGACTAGTGAATGAAGTGAACAGCCGACTTCTAGTGAGAGCCTGTTTTTCCCTATGACTGTGGCTTCGTGTTTTCAGGTGTTCACTTAATCCCACCAGGCATCCTTATTAAATAGTTAAAGTGAGACTCCACCCAAGGGAACACTGTCAGAATAGGATTTGATCCTGCGTCTTCAGACACAGAATATTTCAAGGAAATAGAATGGCCTTAAGAGGAGAAGTTATACAGGATCCTATTGTGCTGTTTTCTGTTGGACTTTGCTCCGAGAATGTTATAATTTGACCCAGAATGTTATAATTTCAATATGAAAGGAGTATAAAATTTTCAAATGAGATATTTTACATTCCTTTTTTGGGGTACTGGTTTTTCAAAATCTGATGTGTATTTTACACTTAGAGCACATCTCAGTTCAGATCCTATTTTCATTGGAAATATTTGATCTGTGTTTAACTTTTATAGTATTTACAGTTGAAAAAGCACATTTGCATATCTAGGTTATTCCAGACATACATAAGTTTTCCATAATTGAATCAATTATTAGTTACTATTTAGTTTTAATTATTTTAAATTTTAAAATCAGTCACAGTAACCACATTTCACGTGCTCAGTATCACATGTGGTTTGTGAAATGTGGCTCCAGTATTGAAGAACACAAGGTTAAGACTCTTTTTCTCAGTAATATAGGCTTACCGCCTCACAAAGTTACTGTAAAGGTCTGAGATCATGTATTCCGAAGTACCTGGTGTAGCACTTTAGGAACATTAATTGTTTAGCTATATAATTTTTGTCTAGTACATTTTATTCATGTATCTCACAACCAGTGACACAGTATTTTATTTGTAGACCTAGATTTTTATGGTTTATAAATATTTGATACCTAAGATTTAAGTATTTATCAGCAACTGTGTTAGACTAGGGACAAAGTGGTGAACAATACGGACTATAGCTTGCATTGATTAGTTGGCAAAGGCTGTCCACTTATAATTGCAACCATGGATGATATTCAGTGTTTGATGCTGTGCAGGACTTAATACAAATATTTATATGATACAAAACTGATCCCCCTCTGGAACTGTGCCCAAAAGAAAGAAATTTTTTTTAAAGATTTCATTTATTTATTAGAGCACAAGCAGGGGGAGCAGCAGAGGGAGAGGGAAAAGCAGGTTCCCTGCTGAGCAAGGAGCCCGATGTGGGGCTCGATCCCAGGACCCCGGGATCATGATCCGAGTCAAAGGCAGACGCTTAACTGACTGAGCCACCCAGGCGCCCCGAGAAAGAAATCTTTAAATTACTTTTTTATTATATCCCAATAAAATACCCACCTGGAATGCTAGTCAGACCTTTGCTGGTGTTGTATATGTCCTCGTATAAGATGGTAGTGTTAAAGTGAATATTCTCACTTAGATGGGAAATGAGTTCATA